GTGAGTGATGCAAACATAAACCTAGAAGGTCTACCATTTACGCGACCTGCTCTCACACACTCACCAGCACGTGTACTCACTAAGCTCTCTTTCGAAGCCTCAACACAATACTATACACTGTACACCCCTAGTTTTCAAGCTACAAGCCTCTGAATTTCACCACCAGTCTATGTCTAAGTCCCATGATCCCTCCCTCTTGCACGAAATCCAAGGTGGTATCAGAGATCCCAACCACTCGACCACCCAGCAACCCCTTCCTCCCAGCCTGGCCCCACTCCATCAGCCGTCGCTTCACCGCCGCCAGGAACTCAGAGGCCTCCGCCTCCTTCAGCGACGAGGACCGGAGGGCCAGACCGGAGGAAGAGGAAACACAAAGGTCTTGGACGGACGTTCACCCCGGAAAAGTTCCCCAGTAAAAGGGGACACTGCTAGAGAAACATCCTCAAGTATCTTTTTTGGATTTCACAAGCATCACAGATTTGAATCCACGAATGACAAGACCATCGCAGCTGAGATATGCTCAGATTATGCTTTGCCCCAAGGGCCAGATTCTGACCCGGTTGCCCACATCTCAGGTGCAAAAAACCACTCACACGCAAAAAAAAAAAAACCGCCCTCCCTTAATTTGAAACATACCCACCTGCATCTGTGAAAACATTCAGGATTTATAATGATTTATATGCATTTATGGATTGGAGTCTTCTCAGGTCATGTGAGATGTGTTGATTCGTGCAAGTCATGGATCATCCGCTCGGCCTCCGGCGCTGGAGTTCCAGTCTCCTGCACAGGGAGGGTTGGTTGATCAACGGTCAACAAGGAAATCCCCCTGCAATCGCAGCAAAAATAGTTTTTTGCGACTGCCATGCCAATGAATGAGGTTGTTTCGCAAACGGATTTGTTTCAGCATGGATGTTGGGGTGGAGCAATGTTGGTGCAAGTTGTGATTGCTATGCGAATGTTTCTGGCGTGAACTTGCTGGGCATGGGTCGGGGATCTTCAAAAAATTTCAAAGAGATTGATGTTTTTCTGAGATGTGGATGAGTTGGGACGATGAAAACGCGTCAGCGTCTGAAATACTTGTCGTTTGTTGGTATTGGAAAATTGGCTTCATGATTTGTCAGCAAGAACAACACAAGATGTTCAAAACAACATGTAACTACATGCTCACAAAACCGGTTCTTCACTTGATATGTGAGTCCTTTCTCCATCCGCCCGTGAAAATTTTTTTGATCGCATTTCCCTGCTCCACTTCGCCTCAAGCTTGGGCCGCTTTGGAGCTGCAGAGGCTGAAGGAGGCCTGGATGGGGCTGCGAGAACCTTCAGTGGCCTCTTGCAAAGGCCGGACCACACGGTCTTCAGACTTGGGATATGATCTAGGGAGTTCTTCAAAGGGATTCCTTTATTGACCCACAACCGTGCCTTTACAACCTTCCCTTTTTTTGTGACCCACCGCCGTTCTTTTTTGACCTCCACCATGTTTTTGACCCCCTACGCTCTTTCTGACCACCAACGCCTTCTTCCCCACCTGTCAGGTGAGGGTTTTTAGATTTTAGAAAAGGATCCCACGCCGCGTTTTTTCGGCGACAGTTGCACCCTCTGGCAACTTCCAGTTTCCGTCTCCATGTCCGACGACAGTTAGAGTTACACTCTTTGGCAGTTTCCACCTTCAACTTTGACGACAGTTACACATTTTGGAACAAAACCGCACATTTGAGACCTTGACGCGCACGATCTTTGAGAATCCGACACGTACAATTTTCGCAAAGGGTTCATGAAAGGCCGGCCTCCATCAGCATCTGGTGCTTCTCCGGCACCTCCATGATGTGTGAATCATTGAAGACTCTAAAGGGCACATGAACAAAGACGCTCTCTGCACAAGTCCGACTGAGTGACTGGCCGGATGCACGCGGAAGAGTGCTGAAAACACCTTGGCTAAAGGATGGATTACTCAAATTGCCGCGCAAAATTCATTTGTCAATACATGTTGCTAAAGCCCCCGACACGGCGCAAAGAAGCAGGAATTATCCGACCAAGTCAGCGCTGATGCAAACTCGGTCAACCAAGTTGATGCAAGCTTCCGGCAGCCACAGGTTTGCGGAGGGCTTGAGGCGTCCAAAAATGTTTCGCGATGCCCTACGATACAGGGCTGCAACCAAGCACAGGTAGCTTCCGCCTTTGTGCGTCAACTTCCTTTGCACTCTCGTGTGGCGCCTCCAGTTGCAAACCTTCCCTTTGTGGCAACGCGCGACTAATAACCTCACTGAATGACCCAAAGTTCGTTTCCATCACACCCCACCATACTTCTCCAAACGGGGTACTGCAGCGAAAGTCGCTCTCCCTTCACGTCGCGCCAGGTGAGTTTCAGAAATGATACGAGACTCCGTACTTTGCACGGCTTGCCACACATTCTCCCACGCCATAAACCCCGCCTACTTAATTATGAAGGGGCCATGTCACAAACCTCACTTGCGCACACCAAAGTTAACCCACTTGCGCCCACATGAGTCATTTTCGCACGCAGCGACTCACTTGCGAATACATGCACGTTGCTACATTAGAACGAACCTTCATCTTCAATTTTTCAAGTCTCTGAATTTACCCTCGGGTGGCTCCCTCGGTCTGATAGCTTGGAGTGCAACCTTCCTTTCCAAAATTCTACCCTCGGGCCCCGAACAAAAGATCTGCTATGTTGGAACCGCACATTCACTGTAGAAAGGTTGCCGGAACCACACTTCACCCAAGTTAGCGCTCAACGCTTCGCATCAGGCAGTCTGTTCACAGCAGTCTTTCTCCACGTGTGTCTGTGTTACCCGGAAACTTTCAACAACCTCTTACACGCCTTGCCTTGGCAACCCGAAGTCTCGGGTAGCCTGACACCTCGAACATCTGCAAATTTGCTTCTGTCTTTATGGCAGTGGCTTCAACGTAATGCTGCGCATTCCTTCTTTCTTCCTTAGATACTGGACATCTGTGAATGTCAGTGACCAGCGCCCAAGTATCGTCCACTCTTTGCATCCGAAAACTTAAGTACGTAACGATTGTGCACCACCATACCTACTTGGGCGCATTGCCACACCGTGACCCAAAGCGCCACTAGCTTTGCTCTCTGAGCAGCAACTTCGTTTGCATTCTAGCTTCGCTCCTCAGAACCGGAGCCATACATCCACAGATATTTTCAAATGCAACAAGAGCCCATCACTCCAACTCTTGTCTCGGGAAGCTGTTGCAGTTAAGCAAGGTGGTGTCGTCTGTCCTTCCATACGTCCAGACAGCATTCCAACACAGATTGTAGAGCACACCTTCATTCCCAAATCGCGGCTCTTTCTAGCAACCCCAAGACGCCACAAGACAAAGCCGAGCGATAGCTCGCTTGCAAAACCACTTCCGCAACATTCCAGTCATGCCACTCGCCTCAGCGACGTCTCTTCGCATACTACCATGCGGTGGCATACCCTCAGAAGCCCTCAGAAGCCTCGGTCTAACTGCAAATAAACTATTTTCTAGTCTTCCCATGGTTGTGGATCAAAAAAGATCGATGGATGGGGGTCAAAAAGAAAGGGTCAGGGGTCCAATTAAACAGTTTAGGGGGTCAGAAAAAATGGAGTGGTCAAAAAGAAGGGCAGGGTGATCAAAAAAATGGAAGCCTGTTCTTCAAACCTTCCATCCCAACTCGGGGGTCATTGATCAGTCATGGGTAATGGCACAGAAAAGGACTGTGACTTCATGTGACTTCCCAATGAGAAGAGTAAGGACCCTCAGTTGTGAGACTGCGGCAATGTTTTGTTAAAGAACAACTTAGACACGGAGAGGAAAATTGCAAAGATGCCTTCTTCCTGTATTGTTCTATTACATTCTATTACGTTCTATTTGTTCTTCTTCCTCCTTATGTCTTCTTCTTCCTTCTTCTTCTCCTTCTTCTTCAGCCGCCTTCGTGGTCAGGGTGAACACTTAGTGGCATTTCATCTCTGCCCGTGTTTAGAACTCACAATCTAAAGATAGCAAATAGATTTGCAACGCCTGTTGGACATGTTCTCCTCCACACAAAGCTGCCTTGCAAGGAGCCGCTGCCGCAGCCGCTCTTGCCGTGAGGCTGGCACCATGGGAAACGACACGTTTGCGCAGCGGTGAGGTAGCCCTGTGTCGACATAGGGCCTCTGTTGGCAAGGCCCTGTGTCGAGCGGGTTGGTGGGTTGATTGCGATCTCGGATCGTCTGGTTGGTCTGGTTGGCTCGTAGAAACTAGTCGGTTGGTGGTTGATTCTCCTTTTCCAAGTTGAGATTCCCTCGCAGCCCATTGAAAAAACACACACACATGTTGGGTGGCATAGTGCTCTTGCAGTGCTTGGGAACACATCAATCAAGGTGTCCGAACATACATTTTGGGATGGCGTAAAAAGAGGGAGAACAAAACAATTCGACAAAAGTGCTTCTTGCTAGGTCTGAATCAGTGGGACAATTCTCTTTGTCCCTCAAGAAGTGGTTCTGTGGGTCTATCTATCGCTTGAGCATGTCTGAGAAATATGCGGCAGAAATGACCCGGACCAAAGGGGCAATGACGGTGATCACAGCAGCTTCTTCAAAAATTCATCAACATGACCCCACTGAAAGGAAGAGATACCATGAGATACCAACTATATAGTGAATTGGTGCCGATCTCCATCAGGAAGCGGGAAGTGGGAAGGGATGAAATGATTGGTCATCCGCTTGTGTAGACTGGCATCTCTCGCCAAGAAATCTCGGCGGGAATCTAATGTCGCCTTTCGATGAACTGGAGATGTAAAAGCATTCTTAGGGAAGGGGCTATATATAAAAAGTCAACATGTGTCAACATGATCTACCCTATATGTTAATGTCCAAATTTGCGCATTTGGAGGATCAGGATGTGAATGGCTTGCCCAATGCAGCTCAAGCCGTTCGATCGAAGTCATTCCACCGGCCGGACCGTTCGATCTAGATCGCTTTCCACCAGCACCGCAAGTCGTCTTGCCCGGGCAGTCGCACCAGATCTTCCGGGAGTCGTTGGCAGGAATCACCCACCTCCTGAGGTTTTGGAGTCAGAGCTGGCTCCAAACCAGGAGAATTCGTGTCCATAGAAACAGCTGACTGATGTCTGAACCATATGGAGGTTTGCGTAAAATGTTGGTCCTCTGTTGCTCCGAAGCAGGAGAATATCATGTGGACTGTTGATTGTATATGAACTCTCCACCAGAATGGTACATCTCCAGGCTTCGGGGGGTTGCTTCATCGACAGGCCACACTATGATTATGCGCATAGCTCTGGTTCAACAAATGTCTGTCTCTGTAATATATCTATGAGTGTATTACTTATAATATACAAAACTGTATGTATATGTATGTATGTATGTATGTATGTATTTTTTTTACTATAGTTGCTGAGTTCTCAGGCCGTGTTGGCCAATGTGTGGGGCTTTAGGCCGAAGCGGGCTCATGACGGCCTAAGTTGGCTCAGAGGTGCTCGTTCATGATTCCTTCATCAGAAGTACTCGACAGCAAGGCCAGGAAGGTCGTCAGGAGAGTCGGACCCTGCGTCTGCCGTTGGGCTGGGGTTCATGGCCGAAGCAGATCTGCTGGTGGTGTTTTTTTCCTCTTGCTCCTTGGCATCCAAGGCAGTCTGAAAGCTTAGCCTCCTCGGAGTAGGCTGAGCTGCTGTGGCTGCCGGTGCTGGTAGGTCAGGTGGTGTGCTTGAGCTGTTGGAGGGTTCCTTCTTTTTGAAGAAGTCACTGAGCGGTGGTGATCCTTTGGTGCCCGCGCCTTTGCAGACTTTGGAGAGGATCTGGTTGGTGATGATGCGCTGCTCGCCATCCAGGTTCCAGGTTGCTCCACATTGGATGCATCGGACTCTTTCTCCCTTCTGCCAGAGGGAGTGACTGGGGTGTGCTTGTGTTGGCTGGGAGAAGGGTCGATCGATGCATGGAGATGCCAGGAAAGTCTGGAATGCCTCTTCATTGACCCTTTTGTGGGTGTTGACCCCACATTTCAGGCATTTGAGGTAGCCCGTGGTTTCAGCATATTTGTGTTCCTCCGGTGCTGGTGGCTGCTGGTGTTGCCTGTGGAGGATGTCTTTGATGAGTTGAGCCCTTGTGGGTTTCTTGGTCAGTGGTTCTTCTTTGGCCGGCTGACTGTAGATATCCGCTAGCTTGACCTGCGGGCAGTCTTCCTGGAGGCGGGTTTCCAGTATGTCTTTGGTCAGGCCTTGGTGCATTCTGGCTCCACACGCTGTGCACTGGTACCCGCTGCGGTGTGGCTCCCATCTGTGATGATTGTCGGCCCATTTATGGGCACACTGCTTCACCAAGTCCCTCTTGTAGTTCTTGGTGTGTTTGCCTTGATGTTTGGGGGCTTTCTGGTGGATGTAATGTTGTGGGTCTTCATAGATCTTGGCCAGCCTTTGGATCGCATGGCGGTAGATCTGGCGGTGGTCTGCATCCAGGATTTCCTGCCATTCATCTTGCTTGGGATTCTGGAATTGTTTGGAGCGCTCCCATGCCGCCAGTGCGGAATCTCTCTGCCTCTTTCTGAGCTGGGGTTCATTGCCGGGTGCGTCTGGTGTGCGAGTTTGCTTTGGAATATACAGCACAGAGATGCGGCTGTAATCCTGGTCTGTGATGTCTTCCAGGATGTCCTGGAAGGGTGGTCTGCTGCGGGGTTGGTGCCAAGCCTCCCACACGGTGGCTATCTGGACAATCACGGTAGCCGGTGTGGTGGTGTGCTTGGCTAGGGCGACCACTCCTGCCAGTAATGCCCTGGCTTTAGTTTGATCGCCTGTGGGAACGCCAGTGATCGCTCCCAAGCGCTTGAGTTGGCCGAGGGCCATGGTGTGTGCGCAGAGTCCAAACACCCAGAGCTGTGTTCTGTCATCATAGGTGGACGGTGTAGCATCGAGGGTGTAGGCCCATCCGCTGTACGGTGTGGGTGCTATCGTCCCCAGGTCTGCCCAACACCCGTGTCCTTGGTTCTGGTGTTCCTGTTGTTTGTGCTCCTGGGGCTCCAAGGGAATCCAGCCAGTGGACCACAAAGGTTCTTCTTCCTTGGATGTGATCCGTTCCATCCATTCTGGCGGCATGGCTTCGTGCTTTTGAGATTTATGCCATTTGCAAAGCCAGAGGATGTGCTTGGGCGTGGCCTCAACTTGGCATAGTGGGCATTGCTTGACCTTGGTTGCTTCCCGAAATTGGACTGCTGCTTGGATCCAAGTGTTGAGGTGGTGCTTGTGCTGAGTGGATAGAGTCTTCTTGACTGCATGATATGTGTGCCAATCAATGTCTGTGATGAGGTGGTGGTGGAAGGGTCGGCTGGCTATTCGGTTGGTGCGCTGGTTTTTGGCTTCCAACAAAAGGATCTTCTCAACCTTCCACCAGGGCTGGCGCATGTCAACTTCATTGCTGAGCATGAGTGGCGTCTCCACCCTCGTCCATCTCATCAGGTTGTTGGCCTGCCATCCCCACTCCTTGAGGTATGTTATGGCCGCTGCCATGGGTCCACGGACGGTGTACCACGGGTATTGCTTGGCATGTAGCTGGTGGAAGGTGGTTTCCCAGGCTTGCTCAAGGGCTGCCATTTGTTCGGTGGGCCAGGCGTGTATGAGGCAATGGATGGCCTTGAGGTGGTGGATGATGACTTGGTCTGCCGGATCGATGTATTTCTTCTGATGGAGATCATAGGTGCTGTCCAGCAGGCCGCCGGAATGGTGCCCCAGATGCTTGGCCATGGCTTGTCTCAAGGCCTGTCGGTATCGGGGGGCAAGGCCTTGGCCTTCGACTCCCCATAGGGCTGCGGGTTGCACTCCTCCACGATGAAGGCGCAGTCGAATCTTCAGAGTAGGAATTCTCAAGGTGCAAAGCTTGACCTTGCGTTTGTGTGCTTTGGCCAGTCTGTGTTTCATCACCGGGATTCTTCTTCGCCTGGCCCCTTGATGGTCTACTCCAAGGTCCCTCATGACTGTCTCAACTGGCGGCTCATCTGGCTGGAGTATCTCCCGCAGTGCTTTGTCGGTGCTGCGATCTGTTGCAATGAATGCTGTTTTCTGTGGGTTGACTTTGAGGCCAAGCTCAACAAGTCGACGATGCATGTCTCTGTAGGCATTGACTGCCTTCTGTGCAACAGCCATAGGCGAGCGTCCAGCCGTGTCAAAGCCTACATCATCAACCCAGCTTGAGAGGTGCACCTCCGGGTGTTGGATCTGCCATGGTTGGAGCGCCGGTGCCAACACGGCCTTGGCCAGCAAGGGTGCTTGGGGGCATCCAGCTGGGACTCCATTTTGGACGGTGAAAAATGGGGTCATTTCCTGCTCCGCAAGGATGGCTTTGGGCCCCGTGTACAGCTGCATGGCCATCTCCAACATCAGGGGTGGGTAGTCGAGGCGGAGTGCCTCCTGTTGGAGTCTGGTGAGGTTGATGGTGTCGTAGAAAGTGCTCATGTCCATTAAGCAGGTGACTCCATGACATCCATTGGCCTTGTGGACCTCTTGGCGGAGGAGCCTCTCCAAAGCCACGTGTAAAACTTGGGCGCCCGGTCTGGCTCTGTCATGTTGCATTGTGGGGGGCAGCTGTTTTTGCCATTGGTCGAGCACTGGTTTCCTGAGTCTGCACCACACACGGTACAGCAGGGAGGTGAGCGTGATGGGCCGCTCCTTGGTGCTGGTCTTTGGCAGCATGATGACCATGTGCATCTGTTGTTGCGTTGGCAGCTGTGCCTGTTGCTCCATGTCTTGGAAGAGCTTGAGAAGAGGCCCAAGCGCCAACGGGGGTGCCGTGCGGAGCAGTTGGGCTGACACTGCATCAGGTCCGCATGCCTTATCCGGGAGGTGTTTGAGTACCGAGGCGAGGTGGCCAATTGTGAGGGGTTCCAATTGTTGTGCTTGTTGTCTGGCCTGTTGTTGGAGACTGGGTCGCTCGTGTGGCTGCCCTGTTTGCCTGATGTGCCAAAGCTTACCCCAGTCTTGGAGCCTTTGCGTGATCCGTTCATCCGGTGGGAGGTTTCTGTAGGGTCGCTCCCAGGCAAGTTCACTGCTTTTGAGACTGCGAAAGAGTCCTTTGAGCCCTTCGGCCTCTCCTTGCTTGAGCCAGTCTTTGTACTGGAGATGGCCTTCATCATTGGCGGCCTGCTGTGCTTCTTGGAGTTGATGTGCAATGGTTTGAAGCACCAGATCGCCTGCATGAGGATCTCTGTAGCGGTGCCAGTGGTGGCTGGTGTCCATGAACTGGCCCCATGTTGGCGGGCCGACCCAATGCTTTGGTACATCTTGGAGGGCCTGCATGAAACCACGTAGTGGACCTGTTTGTCTCATGGCCGGTTGCTTCATCGCGAGCTGGAATCTGGCCTTCAACTGTTCCCAGAAGGCTGGCTTTCCTTTTTTCCACGTAGTGGAGATTTGGGTGGGCACCAAGGGTTTGATGCTGACCTTGAGGCTGGCGCCACGTCCCTGAGCTGCCCAGGGGTGCTCCTGGAGGAGGTATTGCTCGGTGCAAGAGATCCAGTCCGCCCATTTTTGTGCCTGCTCATTGGGTGGAATGCCGTACAACTCAATCTCGTAGGCTTGTGTCTGGTAGGATGTCCACGGCCTAAAATCAATGTCAGGAGTTGCTGGCAGCGGTGGGTAGTACTGGATCTGCCGGTATTCTTTGGTGGCTGCTTCTATGTTGAGGTGCAGAGTGATGAGTGCATGTGGTCGCCAAGGCACAGCCCAATCGGTGGTTAAGGCCGTAGTTGGTGCTAAGTGGTTGTGCAGCAGTGCATGGTCAAGCACGTTGCCTGAGAGGATGCTGTGATCTGGGGCCTTGACATCAAAATGGAACTTGGAAGGTAGCACCGTGCCTGTAAAGCTGTCCGGGCTGTTTTGCCAATCTCCAAGTAGGATGTAAGGGTGTTTTGTGGCTTCAATCAGGGCCAGAAGCTTGGCCAAGATGGTGGCATTGGTGTCAGTTTGGAGGCCTTCCCCAGTCTTTAGATAGACTCCTGCAACGAGGATGGTGCAGTCGGTGGCCTGCCACAGGAAAGCCTGAAATCCACATCCCTGCTGGGTGTAGGCTGCAATTGGGGTCAGCCCGCTGGCCTGGTCACCAAGAATGAGGATGCCACCGGAGTTGCCAGTGCCTTCTTGGTTGACTTGTGCCGGTGCTCCAAAGGCAACTCTTCCTCTTATGCTGAAGTATTGGCAAACCTCTTGGTGACGCTGAGGGTCAAGGTGGGTCTCAACAAAAATGTGCACCTCGCTTTGCCGGGCCCAGAACCAGTCCAGAAATTGCTTGCCAAAGGTGGTGATGTTGGCAAAGTGCAACTTGCTATGTTCTTGTTCGAAACGTTGTCGCTTCTCTGGGCTCGGATGTAGAGGTGGGTCATAGTCCGGCTCCTCAGGTGGTGGGAGTGACCGAACGATCTGTTGCGTCGTTCTGAAGGTGTCAATGTGCACCGCCCATATTTGGGTGACCTGGCTGGCCAGGAGTGGAGTGAGATGTTCCAGATGGACTGGTGGTCTCCCATCATCAGCCAACCACATCAAATCTCTGTAGATGAGGATAGCAAAATAGTGCCCTGTGTTGTGGCTGGGTCCCCGATGGCAAATCAGAGCTGCTGGCACAAACTCTGCGGATTCCCTGGCGAAGCCATCCAAGGATCTAGGGACCGTGAAGGTTCCATATGGATTGAGGATCTTGGCGTGCTTCGTCATGATCCCTTCCACGCAAGTGTTGCGCGTTATGTGGGTGATCAGCACAGGCTTGTCATCCAGCAGAAATTGTCCAAGGCCCGTGTTGGCCCACCCATTGTAGAGATCCTGTAGGCTGGTGTTCTCCGGCCAGTCATCTGGGAAATCAACCAAGATTGGCTGTTGGATGTGATCCTTGAGATAGCCGGCTTCTTGGATCTCAGCAAACCTGTAGTGGAATGCCCTCGTTTGGGAATGATTCCACAACGTGTTCACGAAATGGTTCGCATCTCCCTGGATGTTGAGGTCATGCTTTGCCCACAGAGGATGAAGACCTGGGAGCGCTCGGATATCAACTGCTTCGGCCAGTTCGAGCGACTCTTGAACCGCCAGTTGGAGATTTCCCCATGGCTGCATGTTGGTCTCCTGCAGCAAAGCGCATGTCCAGGTGAAAGCTCGCCATGGTGCATTGGCGAAACATCGTGCACTAGGATTGCCCACTGTCATGGTGAGATTTTGCAAGATGCACTCCGTTGTCGAGGCGAAGGTGTTCTGCATGGCGGCCTTGTTTTTGTGGCCTGATTGGGGTGGCCTCGATGCTCCACCCCCGTGAATTTTCACCACTTCTGGCCCAGGTGCACCAAGGGCGGATCCATCCACGGCCGAAGGGTGAGGTGTTGCAAAATTTTGCTCCTGCGTTGGAGTCTGAACCTCATGAACAAAAGAACTTGTCCCCGCACTCTTGTTAGAGGTGTCCCTGGAGATGTTTTGAGAAATGTACTGCAAATGGTGTTGTGACCTTTCCCCTGCACAAGTGTCCATTTGCTGAGTCCCCGCCGGTGCTGGGTTTGAGGCAGCGCGGCAAACCAAATGTGTGGTTGGTGCTCCTTCAAAATCGTCATCGGGGACCGGCACCTGGGGTCCCTGAAACCCTTGTGGCATGGTGTGCATGTTACCCATCCGACCCTGGAGGTGCTGTCTTGGCCGGGCTGTCTGTTTTCCTGCGAGAGGTCACCATCCGTGTCATTGGGTCGCTTGAGGAGCCCATGAAGCTGTGTCTTCTGTTCATCCGATAGTGAGACTCCAAGATTGGCTACAAAGGTTTCCACTGCCGCAGGCAGTGTGTCGATGTCCATGCCGGAATCCAAGTCTGCTTGCTTCGTCTCCTTGTTGACGGCCTTCATGTAGTCCTCGGATAACAGCTTAAGGGCTTGTTGTCCTTCATTGAGCTTTTGTTGAAGGTCCTGCATTTCTTGGAGAAGGGTTTGGTATTGGAGCTTGGTTTGATCAAGCTTCTCTTGTAGCTGAGTTTTCTTCGTAGAGAGGTTTTTGAGGTCGGTGACCTGTCCCTTCAACTTGATGGCAATGTCCTGCTCTGAAGCCGGGGCTGGTGTCGGGGCTGGTGTCGTGAGGCGGGTTACCACCTCTTGGACCTGTGCCGGAAGTGCTGCCATGTGTGTTTTCAGCATCTCATGGAGATCGGGCTCTGGCGGTTTCTTGGGGCCAATGCCGAGGTGCTGGAGTTTGTCCTGTAGTTCATGGGACATGCCACTCCAGACTGGTTCAAGGAGGTCCGTGGCTTCCTTCTGGATTTTGGTTTTCTTCAAAGGCTTCAGCTTGCCAAGGCCGGGTGGTGTTTCCAGCCAGGAGGCTTGTTGTCTTGCTTCCGTTTTCGTGGGTCTGCCTTGACCTTTGCCCTTGCCCGTGCCACCCTGGATGACCGTGAGAGCTGGCCACCATGTGCCACATTGGCGGCATCTGGTGTCGGGCTTGAGCTTGTCCTGCCATATCCAGTTGGTGCACTGGCTTTGCCGGCAAGTGACATAGCTCCTGCACCATGAGGTAGCCCTGAAGGCCGTCATAGTCCAGGGTTCGAGACACCTCAAGGATGTGCTAGTAGAGCTTGAAGTAGGCAAAGATCGGATCACCGAACACAATCAGGCCCAGGAGAGTGTCAGAGCTGAAGTGCCAGTCACCTCCAGTTCCCCGAGAAGGTTGTGGCGAGATCAGCCAGGTGCCGAAGAGGTCAACAATAGCGGCCAAGGGGAAGAGCAAGATTGCGGGCAATGAATGTGTTGTAATCGGTGATGGCCGAGCTCGAGGTGATGGCAAACTCCCGGCTATGTTCGAAAGGGGAGTTCCACACTAGGTGGACTTGACGGGCTGCCACCTTGAGAGTTTGAGCCTTGAGCCATGTATGTATGTATGTATGTATGTATGCATGGATGTATGTATGTATGTATGTATGTATGTATGTATGTATGTATGTATG